CAGTGTGAAGAGAGAACACATAATGTGGGGAAAAAATTTTTACCAGCTGTTCCTCAGAAAAAGGTCTACTATGTACAATATATAAAGAACTTATAAAAAAAATCTGAGCTCCCAAATCCAAAAATGGGCATCTGAAATGAACTTACATTTTTCACACAAAGAAGTAGAAATAACAAATAAACATTTGAAAAAATGTTCAACATCATTGGTCATTCAAGAGGTGCAGATGAAAACAATGCTAGATTCTATCTCACCCCAGAAAGAATGGCTGCTCTCATGAAATCAACCACTAACAAACACTGGCTGGGCTGTGTGGAAAGAGGAACCCTGCTCCACTACTGGTAGGAGTGCAGACTGGTGCAACCACAGTGGAAATCATTATGGAGATACCTCAAAGAACTATGACTGGAAGTCCCATTTGACCCATCTATTTGCCTGCTGGGTATCTTCTGCAAAGAATCATACCACAAATATATATATGTGCACCCATGTTCATAGCAGCACAATTTGTAATAGCTAAAACTTGGAAGTAGTCCAATTGCCCATCAACTGGAGACTGGATAAAGAAACTGGAGGTGGGGGGATAAAAAAATAAAATGGAGTACTACTCAGCCACAAAGAATGAGAAATTAGAGTCATTTATAGCTAAATGTTTACACATTGAGATGCTACTCTTAAATGAAATAAAAACGACATGTGTAAATATCGAATGTTTTCTTTTGGGTGAGAAACTGAAAGTGTAAATAAGGACTAAAAGGTATAATAGCTAATGTGAAATAGAAAGAAAAGGAGAAGGGAAAATGGAAAGGGTAGGGGAAAGGAAAGAAGGGAATGGAATATGAGAAAATAAAAAAATAGAAATAAAGTCTTTGTAGATAGGGAGGGAGGGATTGAAGGGAGGACAGGAAAAAAATAAGAACCAAGATGGATTATGTAAAGGTGCAAATTTCCAATGATGAGTGTCATTTTATTGTATATCTTAAATGTACCAATAAAATTAATTTAAAAAAGAAGAATTTGCAACAGATGTGGAAGTTGTCGTCCAAAGGATTAAGAAAGCAGTCAGGAAGTACAAGAAGGTGCCATGAAAGTAGACAAGACAGAATTCCAAGATGTAGATGGGTGAACATGTAAAAAATTAATAATAATAAACTCCCATGCAAAAATGGAAACAGAAGAGGAGGCATTAGATTAGGCAAGAGGAAAATTACAGGAACCCTCAGAACAGTTTCAGGAGGACAGGTGCCAGAGAGCAGGAAAAAGGATCAAGGTAAAAACAGAAAGTAGGGATTTAATTGAGCACAGACAAAAAAGCATTTTGGATAACTGTAGAGGTCAAAAAAGTTTAAGCCTGGGGAACCCAAAGTCCTATCAGTAAAGCCCATGAGGAGAGAATGAAGGACATAGACATATGCTGTCAACTAGTTAAGCGCTCACTGATTGAGGAGAGGTGCAGAGTGCAGGATGGAGGACTATAGACGTGGTACTTCTGTTCATGAACTTAATTCTTTCCATGATTCTGGTCAAAAAAATAATAATTGGACAAGAACCAAATCAAATTCTATGGTTAGGTTCAATGTTGACTTTATAGGGAAATTTGATTTGGTTCTCCTGGAATTCAGCTTGTGATCAGAATCATGGAAAGAATTAAGTTTGTGAACTGAGGTACCACTGTACTTTGGCAAAAAAAAGAAGGATCTGAGAGTCCATGAAAAGTTGTGGCAGAGTCAAATGTGTGTGGAGAGGAGGCTGGGGAAATTGGGGAACATTGAAGTCAGCATGCTGAGGTTTTACTATTTTCAGTCTTCTCAACAGGGTGGTATTTGCCCTGATTTCAGACAAACTTCTGAAACTTTTGCTCCATCTGGGCATGAGGGCAGAATGATTTCTAAATATTCTATGTGCAATGCAGGGAGTGCTTCAGAAGACCTAATTCCTGGCACCATCACCATATACTTTAAAGGTTTAGACCGGGCTGGCTTTATAGGATAAGTTCTCAAGCTCCTAGGAAATTTCAACATGAGGACATGTATTTGGCAGGAATTCTGGGAGTACATGAGTATTCTGAGTCTACCCTTAATGTGGGTCTCTGAGCACTCTTTTGCCACTTGGAAAAGCTTCCCTAAGTGAGACCAAGAAGGGGCAGGCAAGCTGGCTCTAAAGTCTACCTTACCTGGTAGGTGAAGGTACTTATGACCCTCATGCTTAAGATGATGAGACCACAGACTGAATTCTCAAGGGTTTGTAGACCCACAATAATTTTTTTTTTAAATATTGTTAGGGCAGATAGTTCCAACAATAATCATTTAACTGTAAATCTCAGGCTAATGGTTCATGGATTTGCTAGAGTCCTTTTGATCTATAAAAATTAGCCCTGAATGATTTTACTTCCAAAGTTTTGTTATGTTGTGATTCCTGACCGAGTGGATTTTGATGTATGGAGAAATGAACTAAGACCTTGAATAAAAAGTGTTACTTTATAGAGTGAAATCTCAAACCCAAAGTGATAATTGTCACATGCAGGTGACAGAGCCACCCTATGACATCCATGTTACAATGAAAGCTTGCTCTTTCTTACTGAGCAGACAATAATACTGCATATGATGGAACATTTCTTTCTAGTATTATACTATGCTTTTAAAAAAGAAATAGTCTTGGACCACTAAATAAATGATGCTGACAACTAGAGACAGGGCCTCTCCTTGTGGGAGGCAAGATAAATTTTCCTCACCCCCAAAGATGTGTAATTGAGTATGACAGCAATGCTTATACTTCCTTAGAGAAGGAAGTTGGCCTGTACACCCTGTGCCCAGACCCTCATCCCACCCCTTATCTTGTTTCCCTATCTTCTAAGTTTTCCCTGTCTTCTAAGGGGACTATGAGCTACACAAGTCAAAACCATGTAGGTTCCATTCCCAGATGACTCTCTTTGAGCATCAAGACACACAAGCACTCAAGAAGGCTCTGCTAGAGGAGGGAGGCTGGTGGCCTTTGAGCCCCATCTCCCAAGTAAGCCTCATTTGCTCCAAGGCAGAGTCTGGGAAATGCCAGCCCAGGTCTTTCTTTTTCAGGAGCTCCTGAATAAACTGTTACTTCCATTTAAACAAAAACCTAGTCATTTACTTAGCTCCTATTCTAGGTCCCACTCTACCAAACATCATTAGTGGCTCTGTCCCAAAGCCAAAGGAAGGTGACAGCATCAGGCTTGTTTGAGAGCTGAGCCTGCCGGCATAGTGGACAAACCCTCACATAAATGTGGCCTTTCCAGTGCACAAAGGATTCTCCTACTTTGGTCACATATAACAGCTCCTTCAGGCAGGGGAATGTATTATTACCCATATTTCCTACATGAGGAAACTGAAGCCAAAGAGGTGAAGTCACTTGCCTGCTGACAAAGAGCTCTGAGAAGGGAAAGCCAGGACCAACTCTGGCTCTCCTAATATGTGGCTAGTTGCTGTTTTTATCCATTCCACTATTCCTTTCAAAATCCCATAGACAGAAAGGAGTCCACAGAATCCACTTTTTACTTTTGTTTTTCCCCAGAGCCTCTGTCCTCAGCAACCTGAGGTGGGGCCAGGGAATTAAGTAAACTGCAGTGTGGCAGCTAGAGGAGGGCAGTGAAGGGCACCTTGAACTCAACCACAGCCTGTCCTGGACCAGAGGCCAAGTTCTGATAAAGCCAAGAGAGTGTGAGAACCCCATGTCTTCCCTACCCAGGCTCTGTACAAATCACAAGAACAGCAGAGGGATAAAGCCATGCAGAAACATGTAGCAGCTGCTCAGAAAATCCTGGCTTTACGTATTTGCCAGAGTAGGGGTTCTTAACTCTGAAGTTTATGAGTATCATGTATATATGTTTGCATACATATGGCTTTTCTGGCGAACGAATCTACTGCCTTCATTAGATTATCCCAAGAATATACAACCAAAGAAAGATGACAAAACATCACAACTCCCCATTAGCTAACCATGGGCAGCACGGTTCCCCAGCCCCAGAGCCTGGCTGTGTGCCTGAAACAAAGGAGGCACTCAATAAAATGACTAGTGAAATCAAGGAAGGCACCTGGTATTAACAATAATGCACGCCCAGTAAGCACTTAGCAAGTGCCAAGCTCAAGTGCTCAGTGTTTGCAAGCAGAATCTCCTTTGATCTTCAAGCAGAATAGCTATAAGTAATGGCTAAATATCCCACCATTCCTGGGATTTCTCAAAAATTCAGCCAGCACATCTGTCCCCTCCCCATTCTGACACTGTTTTAACCTGCATACTTCCTTAGGGAATGAGCCCTGATATCTGATTGTATTTGCATTCACTCCTCACCATCTTAGGCCTTAATAATCCACTTATTGCCCAGAGTCCTATCACCAGAGAAGATGGGATTAACACCACCTAGAGCTGGTTAAAAATGCAAACTCTCTTCTGTACTCATTAAACTTGAACCTCTGGGAGAGAAGGCCCAAGAGTCTAGGCTTTGACCAGATCTCCGGAAGATCCTAATGCCAGCTCAAATTCAAGAAGTAGTTTCAGGAACTGCTGATCTGAAGGCTCTCACATTAACCCACCTTCCCAGGGTTATCTACTGGCATCTGGGTTTGACACCCAAAACAAACTTGCCCACATTTCCCAACCCCAGACTTGTCACTTCCTAGGACAGACACTGAAGCAACCAAAACGTAACCTCTTCAGAGGCCTGCGCTGATCACTGTGTCTAAAGCAAAACCCTTTGTGCCCTTCAGCCAGCACATTCTGTTCTTACCATCAAGGCACTCATCACAGCTCCATGGGACACAAATACTATTTTGGTTTCTTAGCCCCAAAAGCAAGCTCCAGAAGGTGGAAATTATGCCTATTTTTATCATCTTTTTTATCCAGCAACAAACATAGATGCCAACACACACAGGAGCTCAGAAGTTTGGGCAGATTCAACATTGGCTGGTGACTGAAAGCCAGCTTTAACAGAAATAAGGTTTAAGGTGTAAATAAATATATTTCTCACTTACCTGAAAGGCTACTGAGTCGTTTTTGTTGTTCTATGATAAAAGAAGATAAAATATAAGTGAGATTTATACAGTACATGGAAAGACAAAGAAATCCTGGCATAGCTACTGCAGTTAGGTCCTAGACTTTGCAGTCTCACTGTCTTCTGGGCTTAGATGCTAAAATGCTCAGCATGGCTGGACTCAGGTAGTGATGTGCTCCCACACCCACTCAAAACTCCACTCCCCAGGTCTGCACCAAGACTTGGCCCTGTCTCTATTTTCTAGCAGTTTACATCTTGTCTCAAGATGATCTCATTACTGAAGGAGATCCTCCCAACTCCTCTGGTTTCACATGCCAGGACTTCATACATTCCAGGCTTGGTACCTTTTGAGGGAAATGTGCTTAGAAGCATAAGCATGGCAGCTGGCAATTCCTGACTAAGAGTCTATTAAATGCCAGACTCCATTTTAAGAAATTTTATACGTTACACCTGAAACAACTCTAGCAGTTAGGTATGATTTTTTTTTTTTTCATTGTCCCGCCTTAGTCCCTGTACTACTCTGGCTGGGTCCAGAGCACATGAGAAATCCTAAAACAGTCAGCATTTACTGAGAGACCTTTGATAAGGGGTCCAAATTACCCAATATAGCACTGAAAATTATCTCAATCTAGAACCTAGATCCCCAACTCATAGTCCAGGGTTCCTTCCACCTTAGTCACCAAGGCCCTGCTGCCCCTCACAATGAAGGTCTATTAGTTTCTCATCTTTCTGGGTAATCACATGGCGGGCAAGCCAACATCTCCTTTGGAGAGTCCTGTGCATACTTGCTATTTGATAAGCACAAAAATGACCTTTACCTTCCACAGTTGCTAAATATAAAGCAGCCACTTAGATAAAAATAGAACATTTGCCAGCCCTTGTGTGCTGTCACCATCCCTCTTGGCCACATTCCCATCCTCCAGCTAGAATCAGTGTGAACAGGAAGTAAACAGAGCAGCAAGGGAGCTCAAGGCTAGTGGAAGTGGTAATGTCCACATCTGATGTGTAGATGTGCTTTGCACTGACTGGACAAGCAGGAGCCCCGTGAAGCACCAGGCTAGGCTCTGCCAACGTGTTATCAGGTAACACTGGCCAACCACATAACCTCAGTTGACTAACCTGTAACATCACGGTATTCAGTGGTATCTCAAGAGATATACAGTTCCCAAACTTTCTTCTACAGGGCAGTGGCACTCCCCAGCCAACAGAAATAAATGCAATTGGTAAGACTGTGGTATGAAATGGCCTGTCTCTTATAGGACATCACACACACAGTAGTGGCTGTTCTTCAGTGGTGTTACATGGCAAAGGGAGAGGTTAGCCACAATAGGGTGATCCCTAGACTCTTTTATATTCCCATAGATACGTCTGGGAATCTCTAAACTCTTGCTCTCTGTGTGGTCCATGGCCAAAAGCACCAGTATGCTGGCAAGCTTTCTGAAAATGCAGGCTCTCAACCTCTTCCCCTCCTCAGAGTTCCTGAATCTGAAATTGTAAGTTAATAAGACTTCCTGGGTCCAAAGCATAATAAATATTGAGAAGCCCTGAGTAAAGGGACACATGTACTTCTGTCAATCCCAAGAGTTTCTTGATTCAAAACCTCCTTCCAAGCCTGATGGGAAATAACTTACTTTCTAATACATGTGATATGAAAACTCAAGAAAGAAGGGACAGGAACTGTGTTGCTCACAACTATCAATGCTAAGACCAGAAGCTCAGTACCCCTCTGTTCCTAGTAGGGGAAAGGGTGGCTTGGAGAGATGAGATTATTGACCTATGCCCTGGGTCAATCTAAGCTGGAAAAAGGGGGATTTTTTATTTTTAGGATGACTAAAGCAGAATTCCAAAACTAGAGTAAAGTTTTCACTGGGAGAATGCTCAATAGTTACACTGTCTTTATGGATACTGTCTGAATTTCTGACAGAGTTGCCAGGTTGGGTAATTTTTCAAAGCAGTGCCAAAAACACTTGACCTTAACCCCATTTATGATTAGTTATACAGGGTAGGGCTGGCCAGTTTCTTTCATTCTTTTCAACTCTTCCTGACCCACCTACAGTAAGCATATGGTTTTACTCTTTATGAGAAGGACCATTTAATTCTAAAAACTAATATCATTATTTGTGTCCTTCTCTAAAGGATATTGGCTTTAGCTGTGCAATTATAAGTTTTAAACCCAATGGCAGGACTCGGTCAGAAGAGAAAGCAAGAACCAAAAGTTTCTTGGGTAAATTAGAGAAACTCATTTGTTCAAAAAAGGAGCAAAGCGGAACTACAAGTATATCTGTGTCCAAAGACATCTCACTAGGTGTCATCAGACAGACTTGGCAAAAGCAGCTGACACTGGCATTTCCCAAGAACAAAGTTGCTTTGGGAATAAATCCCATTGTTAAAGAAACTGCCTTTCATTATGGGAACTAACTTGCTTGACTAGATTTTTCTTAAGTGAGTCATTAAAGAAGTTCATAGAGAACCAAAATTTCACTTTGTCCTGCATTACAGATACTTTTTGGGCAAGGAGAGCTACTGCCAATGAAGAGATGACACAGATGAAAGGAGAAAGGGCTTGTACAAAGTTCAGTGTGGGGCTGGGACTCTTTTTCTTCTGAAGTACACAGACTCATGAGGGGAAAATGAATATGAAAGGCAACCATGATGCAAAAAATAAAATCACTAAAACTAAGATTTGAGTGGGAATACTTTAAGTGAGACAAAATGTTTTACGCATCTACTTTTCAAGTTAGAAGCAGGAAACAGAAGACTATTTATTTAGTATGAACAACAATTAAAAATAGATTCCAGTCTACTCGCATCCAGGTTGATGTAGAAGGAAGGGGAATGGAAGGGGAGGAAATGAAGAAGCAGGTAAAAAGAGAGTCAAGAAAAGGAAGATCTGGAATCACGCTGTAAGCCTAAACAGAATAAGTAAATCTCTACTGTTCTTTGAAATTCATACTAAAAAGCTCTCTTTCACATTGGAAGACAACCTGAAAACTTTCCATTTTATGCTGCAAAGGACTTTTGCAAAAGGAAAGTATATTCCCCTGTGGAATTCCAAAAAGGAAAACTTAGGATTTAGAATCATCTCCTGGGATTTTAAAGCAGAAGGGTCAACATATACAATTAATAACTCGAACCTCAATGCCCCTTTAGGAATGCAGAAGAACCAACCAGAACAGTCACAAAAACTACAGAAACTAAACATCAAAACCTAAGCAGAGCCATCTGACTACATGGCACAGGACCAAACACTCACATGAACATCAGTCGCAAAGGGCAACACTGAACAACAGCCTAGAGCAGTGGCCACTTGGAAAAGAGGGCCAGAGTTACTAAAAAGGAATTGCATAGCCTGTTTTAGAAGTATGAAAGCATGCTTTAAATTTTAGAAAGTCTTCTATCCAATATGTGTTTTCAGCCGGGTTGTAGCGGCACATGTCTAAGGTTAAGGCCAGGGGATCATTGTGAGTTTGAGGCCAGGCTTGGGCACATGAGTTCAAGGCCAGCCTGAATGGCATAGTGAGACTGTTTCAAAACAAAACAAACCAAAACAACCCTCAAAACTAGATTTTTGAAGCAAAACTTCACTAGAAACCACAAGATAAGGAATTTAGAGATACAGACCTTTTCTTATTTTGGTGTTATTGTTAAAAGATAACCATGAACACCCAAGATGAAGCACACTATCCAAGCTAACTTATACAGACACCTGACATCATTTCAAAATAGTAGCATTTGTCTGCCTGCTGGGATTAACCTTAGGAATCATGGAAATAATTAAACTGGAGCAGATAGCCCAGGACTGGATTTGTGAAAATTTCTGTTGAATGACAGAAGTCTTGCCCAAGATACCAAGGAATAGCAAAGTTGACTCCAGTGACCTGGGAGAGGATATTCTTGGAGGGCCCCTTACCTCGATTATGCTGCAAGAGCACAATGGTGGGGTTAACAATCGTTGTGGAAGGGTAGGCAGATGATGGCTTGCTAGCTGGTGGAACGGCTTGGGAATCAGTTGCAATATGGGAAGAAGAAACTTCATTTAGTAGAGGACTGGAACCCTGAAAAGAAAACAAACAATGTAACTAAGTGTAATGCAAGAAATCTAGAGTTACTGCTTTTCAAAGAGGAGAAATATAAAACTTTACAAAGATTTTAATTATAAACAGAAATGTAGTAAAGAAGACATTTCATCATTAATTACAGTTAGAAGTTTAATCTGGATTGCTTATTCTCTTTGTTTGTATTAGTAAGGGGAAAGAAAGGGAAATTAAATGTTGCTGATATCATTATTTTCACCTGGTAGTAGTTGTGGGCCAATCTAGTTACTGAAAAAGCAAATTCAAATCAAAGTAGAATAACATGCAAAACCCATGCAATTCCAAATGTGATCCAAGAATGAGAGCCAGTTTAATTGGGAAAAATCAGGGAAGTTTAGTACACTGTCTTGAGAAATGTGAGGCGATACGAAGACAAGAAGGCAATGATATAAGAACAAGGAAAAGTAATGACTCTCTCAGAAAGCTGCTCTTAGTATCAGTCACTGAGCAGTTCTACTAATGCTGGCTTCTGACATCTGACTATTATCCTATTATGCTGTGACATTGTTTTACTCTAATATTAGAGTGATAAAGATCCCTGAAGTAAAGATGTATGGGAATCCTGACTCTTAATACTAACAGGATAATCCAAGTTGGAGGCAATGGCAGTATTTTGAAACAAGTGAAACCAGGATTCTAAAATGTAGAAAGGCCATAACAGACATTTTTCTCCAGCATATCTATATATTTCACAAAGTTTCTAGTTTAGAATTTACAAACCTCAAGCCAAGATGGCATTCCTAAATGGCTTTAAGAAAAAGATTTTGATAACTACTCTTGAAGCAATTATTAAGTTCAATCTGAGATTAACTATTATGTACACACATGCTGGACAAAGGCCATGCCTTCCTCTTCCTCTGCCACCACCCAGCACAACGTCATGCACACAGCAGATACTCAATAAATACATGAGCCATCTACCAACAAAAACACATCTGACCTAACAATTGTGGCCAGAGAATACACACTCATTTAAAAGAGGATGTGGGTATCAGCACCCATGATGGGTCCTGCCACATGGTGGGGGATTCAAGACCACACTGCCTCAGTCAGTCTCTTTCTTCTGAAAGTTTGCATAACTTCTGATGGTAATGAGCAGCGGTAAGACTGTTCCAAGACTCTGAGAAGCACAGTATCATTTTGTATATCAAATGCCTTCTCAATGCCTCCATCTGGAATGTAGGAAATATTTACACTTTTCCTAATTTATCTAATAAAGGTATATGACATATTTAAATCACTGCCAAAATGCTCCCAAGAAACAAAATATAAGGCACACAGCTCTTTAAAGCATGCATGCCTAATTTGATGTCTGGGTAGACACATAAGCATCGAACATTTAACAAATTTAACTCCATATCCTATTTCTGAACTTTACACAAACAGCTGCTGGCCAAAACAATTTTTTAAAACCTGGATGAAGCAACATGACTTTTATTCCTCTCTTTTATTCCCAAATAGCTGCAGATGGAACAGGTATTGGGATCATGACTTGGGCACTATCCATTGGGCCCTTCCTCTCCTTAAAAATTCTCATTCAGAAGAATAATCCAAGCTCTCTTTCTTTCTTTTTTTTCTTCATCTTTTACTGTTACCTAAGGCCAAACCAGACTTTATCAGGCCAACTTCTGGGAAGTCTACACCAGGCTGATTAGTCTGGGTTGAGAAACTGAGGACACTGTCCCAAATCCTGTGTCCTGGCACACCTGAAACAAACTCAATATGAAAACCTAGAACTATGCTAATGATAAAATACAGAGTCATACAAAACTACTTACTATGATGTATAAGTACACTAAAAATAAGGTTCACATTACCTGCTACTCCAGAGAAACACATTTTGTGCCTAAGGCAAGATGCCTGCATTCCCCAAAACCAGAGTGGCTTCCAAATTCACCTAAAAGTTCAGCTTAGAGGGTGGAAGAGTACATAAGGGAACAAGCTAGCATTTTCTCCAGCAGAAGCTAATCTATAAAGCTCAAAGTCAGCAGGATATACAAGCCCTTGGGTCATGTCTGGCCTGGTCCTGGTCTGCTGCATCTAGATGTTTAAAAAGAGGACTCAGCCCAGGATGTAACAGTCAGTCCCCAGCTTTGGTATGCCTGATTATTCACTATAATTTCTTTAATAAGCCAAATAAGAAGTTTCCTTACTGCTTTCTGCATGACTGGCTTTAGCTTAACAAGCCATTTGGTACAGTTCTGTAGATATATCTCGTCACAGTGGGGATGTCACTGTCTTTTAGTTCTATCAACCAAATCCATAACTCACAGGTTCACTGTATCTCAAACTGTGATTTGATCATGAGACCCACTGAGATGCTTGAGATCAGGTGAGAATCCTAGGTCTCTCCCCAGAGCCACTCCATCAGAAACTCTAGGAGTATAAAGTAGGCCTCCCTGGCTCTCATGTGTGCACTAACCTTGAGAACTGATAAACTAAATCCTAAAATCCATTTGAAAACAAGTGGCCTGACTTGTTCATAGATGCACCTGTGGTACCTAGCAATCTGCTCAGAATGTGATAGAAACTCGGCGACTAACTGTTCATTAACCAGTTGCTTTGGAGTGGCTCTAGCTCCTCATTTTCTAGGGCAAGCACTCAGCAACACAACTAATGTTTAACAGCCACTTACTCTGTGCCAATACTCAGTCCCACAGGTGCCCACAACCATACAAGTAGATCAACATATTATAGCTCACACTGAGGTTCTTCAGATTATTTCAATTCCCAGGGCTCAAAAGGAAAAAAGAAACCCAAATACTTTGGCTCAGCCTTTTCCCTAAAGTAGCTGGCCTTTCCCACCTATGGAGAGACACAGTCTTCTCACACAGGATGGGATCTGTAGTGTCAGAACCCTTTAACTTCCCACAACCACTGACCACTGGTGCACTGCCGTGCCACAAAGGCCCCTGGAGCCTCCTCCTTAGAGGGTCTCACATGTGTCTGTCTTTTACAAAACTCCTAACGTTTGTACAAAACTTTCAAGTCCACTTGCCCAATTAAATCTAACTGCCTATTTTTGTTCCTACCTACTTCTGCTACAAAAGGGAGTTAGTTTAATCAAAAAAATCAACCGAAGAGTTAATATTGTCCTCCCTTAGAGCCCTTCTACTCCCAGTACACTGTCCTATAGCACCACACCTGCGTTGGCTTTCTCCACATAATTCTACAGCTTTTCTCAGCTCTTTATATTTCATTGGTCTCGCCTATGAAGAGCAAGACTAGGCAAAGTAAAGGCCACAGATGTTTTCTCAGAGGAAAGACAAAGTTCTTTCAGGAAGACATGCATTCCCAACAGGACAAGAAGCCCTTCAGAGACTTGTGAATAGCCACAGCCAACCCAAGGGAAACACAAGGGAAGCATGCACGCTAAGGACAGCAGACACAAGTCAAGTCATCACACAAGCACAGCAACAGCCAACACTTTCCTCAGGACTTAGTACTTCAGTGAGAAAGAGGGATTTTCTGCCAGGAGCAGACATTCAGGAAAGCTGTAGGGAGGGAAGTCCAGCAAGCTTACGGTACTTGAAACAGCTCCCGTGAGGTCAGGCTCGGAGACTCTGTGGCGGTCCTCCGGTAGGGGAGGGACCAGCGGAGGTGGTGGTGAGAAGGATGGTGGTGTCTGGCTAACAGGGGAAAGGGAGCCACAAGCACTGGCTGGCTGGCTGTGGTGGGGCCGCCTCTGCAGATGAGGGGGAATGAAATCATCTAGAGTTGGAAAGGTCAGAGGTGAGGCAGCAGGGGCGGTCACCAGGGTAGTGTGGATGCAGCCAAGCGGCTCCAGAGATGCTGGAGGTCTGGCAGTGCCTTCTCGCCCTCTGTCAGTATTAACCAGGTAGAGAGGGACAACTATTACCTCAGGCTGAGCTGCGCTGGAGGAAGTGGCATCCTGTGGGAAATAAGGGGGTCATTATGTAAGGGTACAGCAGGGATGAAGGAATTCCATATTGAAGCAGTTGAGAGTGGACATGCAGTGATGCACTCTGAGAAATATTTAATCAGTGCCCTCTCCTCAGAGTACATGAGACAGTCGGTGCTGGCCAGCTGGCCTCCTGACACTCCATGACACAGTGGCAGCTCCATCCAAGTTCACTTTCCATCCATCTATTTTTGAATTCTTTTAACACTTCAGGAGAAAGAAAGAGAAGGAACAAGAGAATAGGCAGGCAGACTGTGTTTAAGCACACAAAACTGCTGCAGAATCTGAAAGCTTGGGAGTAAATACAATTCCTTTGGCACCTTGACATAAAATATAAATACTTCATTATCTCACCACATTATTAGTCTATGGATTCCATGTTCCGGCATATTTACACACTTACAGAAAAAAGAGAGACACAGAGAGAGATCTGTGTTTAGACAGAAGAATTCAGAGTCAAGCTGCAGCAATATTAATGAGGAAAGGAAGGGTAAGGAAGTCCAGAGAACATATTAGCTGCTCACATCAGTTTCAAAAGAGACAGTATAAAAGACACATAAACATTCCTAATTTCTTGCCTTTGCTGGACAACTTGGCTGCAAAAGGTAAATGTCTTTGCTCTTCTGGTTTTCAGGATCAGAAGTAACCTGGGGGCCTAGCACAGGTGGTCTCACCGCATCTGGAAACGAAGCCCAAGTCCCCAGGGAAGGACTCTCGCCACAGTTACCAGCATCTTTATGGATATCAAAGAATAGCTCGAAAGGGTCAGGAGGAGGAGCAGAGGGTGGTTTCCCTGTGCTGGCTGTGTGGGGGACAAGGCTGGGAGCTGGTGCCCGAGTGCCCGCCGCCTCTGAGGGAGTGTCTTTGGCCGAGTCACATGCAACATGAGAGAAGTTTTCCAATGCGGCCCGGCAAATGTTACTGGATAAACAAGGTACATATAAGCTGCTGATCTTTTTATTCCCAGTGGCCTCATGACGTGGGTTAGAGCTCACATTCTTACCAGGAACTAACCTCATGGCTGCACAGTGGCGCTGGGGCTGGGATAAAGCATCAGGGAATGTGGAACCCAGAAGCAAGGGACCAGAACACAGCACATCTTTGGGAGCTGATACAGCTGCCACGGGAACAGAAAAAGGCTGCCACTGTGAGGGGTTTTGCTGGCTGAGGGTGCTGGGTCGGATATAAGGTTTTGGTGAGCTCATGTACAGGGAGTCTTTATGGATACTGCAGACAGTGGGGGTCAGCCATGCAAAGCACCCCTCTGGAAGGAGAGGAGAATGTGGAGAGAAAACCTTAGCAGTATTTTTAAGACATGATAGCAAAACAAGGAAAAAAGAAAGAAAAAGGGAGATAGAAAGAATGATGACCATTAGAAATAACAATATTACATGATGTGAAGACAACAAAAACTCTTGACACATTTCAGATCTTCAGGCTGGTTTCATCTTGTACCCACAGTTTTGCTCAGAGTAAAGCCAAGGCCGGGCTTATACTCACCGGGGAGAGGCCAGTCTGACTCACATCCCAGGGAGGCTGAGCCATCCCTAAACAAGTTAACATCAGCTTCAACACCAATTCTCAGTTAGCTACATTTTCAGAGACCTCCTGAACCAAACGCCAGGGGAGCAAGTCCCAGAGCCCCCATTCTCTTGAAATCACCCTTCCTCAAGACTTTTCTCTTGAAGGCTTGGATTTAAAATTGAAGTCCATCAGACTCTTTTAGAGTTCCTTCTATCTTTTCCCTTAGGAAAAAAAAATAGTGGGGAGAGCTATACTCTTTTGTGTGTGTTTACAGGAAACAGATATCCACATTAAGCAACTAAGGCTTAGCTCCCAATTCTGTAAGCATAATAAATTAAAGCTCACCAAGAAGAGGACACTAAGGACTCTGATGCACATGAAATTAAAAGCATATAGTTTATAGTCTCGCATTTCTGATACACACAGAAAAAGTCAGTGTGCTCCTATTTTGGCTTTTGGGATTATACCATTCCTGGTACATCAAATTTCAGCTCGAGTCAACCCACCACTGCTCACAGAGAATGTATTCTAGAGTAAGATGGGCAACCTCAGAATTATAGCTTACGCCCAAAGCTCTGAGTACAGGTTCAGAGTTACAGAGCTATAGTGCACATCTCTTCCCTCTTCCTTCAACACCACTCTTCCATGGGTCTCAGTGGGGCCAAGAGTCAGGACGCAGAGTGACTCTCCAGTCTGAGCCTCTTCTGCCTATCTGCAGCTCAAGTGGGCATGAGACTATCAGAAGAAGAAAGCTCATACTCCCAGCTCTTTTCTTTACAGATAATCCAGCACTAGAACAAACCCAGAACCCTCCTCCAAATCACACAAGTAAAGGACACTACAGTTTGGTCAATATCTATTAAATGGGTTTCGACTAAAAACTAGGAGGGTGCAAGGGTATGGGTCTCTTGGGATTGTTTTATATTTCATTTCTGTATTTTGTAGAGTACATGTGGGAATGGGAAGGAATTCTACAGAGTATGAATAGGTGAGAATATTTTGTTGTTGTTGTTGTTGTTTTGAGACAGGGTCTCACTATGTAGTTGAGACTGACCTGGAACTCACTATGTAGCCCAGGCTTGTCTCGAACTCACAGCTATCCTCCTGCCTCGGCCTCCCAAGTGCTGGGATCACAGGCATGCGCCACCAAGCCTGGCGAGAATATTTTTATTTATGAGTTTGGATTAGAATATCAATCCAAAAATACTAAATAACCTATCCTTTAGATTTTCCTAAAACCTATGCTTTAGTTTGTAACTCAGTTTTCAAGTTACATATAATCTGGATGGATTATTTGGATATCCTCACCTAACACAATGCCTATCATTCCTCAGTGTATCGAAAATGGTACCAGTGGAATATGGCTATGTATACCAGTCAAAAATACAAAATGAACAGCGCCTGTATGGTACACAGGAAGAACAAAACCTTTCATTTGGTTCAAGAACTTGTAATGAGGCTTCAGGTATGTTTACAGTATAAATGATGCCCTCCCAAAGCAAGACATCTGGACTAGCATGCAGCGAAGGGACTGCAGGTAAGCTGATAATGGCTGACGAGAGTTAAGCAAAAAATCTCTTTGATTTGAGTTCATATTTACTTTTATTTTGAGCTCAAGTATATTGTGTGTGATTTCTTCTTATCCAAAGATAGAAATCAGTTTCAGTACTTTTTAACTTAATTTGGCCATGTCCATATAAGGTGTCAGGGCTCCTTTACATCAGGCATGAGCCTTCCAGGCCTGTGACCCTGCAGAAGGGATGCTTCCCAAGGGTGCGCACAATTCACTCAGAGCCAAAGGACTTCCTGTCATGAGACTTCTTTTAGTCCTAAAGAAGAAAGGAGATAGAAGGAACTGCTTTTCGTTTTACTGGAAACATTGTAGGAACCACACAGGCAGTTTGTATTCTTGGCCAGCTGGCAACTAAGGAAATTCCACTTATTTTTTAAAAGGTAGATCAGTGAAAGAAATGGAGCTTCTTGAAAGACTTGGCTTATAGTTTATACAGTTCCGGGAGCTAACTACACTTCCACTGGGTATGACCATGATGATAATGATGTTACAAAACACTCGGCTACCTCTTCCTTGAGAGGAGGGCAGTAGGTCCAGGTTTACAGAACACAGTATTCCCATCTGGCCCATGGGTCTCTTGGACCTTAACTCATACTTATAAGAATATATTCAAATGGGCTGGGGATTTAGCCCAGTGCTTCTGCTGCCTGCCTCTCAAGCACAAGGTTTCAATCCCTGGTACCAAAAAAAAAGAATATACTCATCAGAAAACAGGGTTGTAAGAGTTCTCTTCAGCCGAAATCAAGCCAAAGCAGTGCCCAGCCCAGTCCAACACAACTTCCCTTGGTTTTGTTGAAGCCAATGCCTCCTTATAAATCTGATAATGGCTATATATTCAAGAATTCATGTTTACATTCAGAAAATAAATCTAAAAATTAATGCATAACCTAAAGGTTCTTGAAATTTAGTTGACCAATTTTTCATTGAATATGCAGAATAAAGATACTGTATCAGCCATTTACCACACTCCCTTAAAGAAGCCCCACTTTAAAAAAAGAAAGTTAATGACAGATAAGAAAACCCCTTATTTAGGATGCTTAGCCTTATTAAGAAGCTAAGAGTGGTGCCTGTAACCCCAGAACTCTGGGAGGCTGAGACAGAAGGGTCACAAGTTTGAGCACAGCCTCACAAATTCTGTGAGACTCTGTCTCAAAATAAAATATTTTTAAAAGTTGGATTAGGAGCTGGGGAGGTAGCTCAGTGCAAAGACTGGTTCAATTCCCAGAACCATTTAAAAAATAAAATAAATTCCTTCAGGACAATATTTCTTAAAAGAGTGATAGGAGCACAACAGAGTATATAATAAAGTTATTAAAATAAATGTATTTAAAAGGAATTTTTCTTTACTTCCCATCCTCTTGAAATGATTTCTTAAAAAGAGGTACAGTGGTACCTCAGTTCACGAATCCTTTTGTTTGCAAACAATTTGGTTCACAAACAGAAATGTTGGGCAAATTCTGCATTGGGTGACAAACATGACCATCTTTCCCACACAAACACAATGTGTGGCCATCTTTTCTAGAATTGTATAACAAACTTAGTTTGTGAACAAAGGTATTACTGTATTTACAAAGACAAAAGGAATTACTGAGTTATCCTATGTGCTAAGTCGATGACAGAAAACAATGTGCTTCTACATTTCCTTTGAATTCATTAGCACTGCTTTCCAATCTCAACAGAGCTAACTGTGTACATTCTTGAGATGGCTGAGAAGGAAGCATGTGTGCCCTAGGCTGCAGATTTGTACATTCAAAAAAGTTCCCGAAATGGGAACTTCAGGAGGGCAGGCACATTCACAACTACTGATTCTAACAGGGGCTCAGGATACAATGTCTGTACTGGCAGGGGAAGTATTAAGTCATGGCAGATGATGGAAAGGCTTAATGGTGCTTCATACAAGGCACACAAGGGCTCAATACTAGCCTGAGAAGACAGAGGCCAGCAGAAACAAAGGAAGACATCGTCTCTGGTTTGGCTTCATTGCAGAGGCCAGAGCAACTTTATGTCCTCATAGGCAAGAGCCACAAGATCACTAGAGAAGAGCGGTGAGAACTAGGAAAGATCTGTAGAAATTCCAAGTTCCCTGCCAGCTCTGGGAACACCTTCAGGGAGAAGCACAGGAAAGAGGACCACAAAAAGAATACATTTTTGCAAGTATGACTACAGTAAGTCCCTGACTTATAAACATTAAAGTTGTGAACTTTCAGAGGTATACTGTATAAGATTCTCAGGTGGGGCTGGGGATTTAGCTCAGTGTTGCTCCTGCCTTGCAAGTACAAGGTCCAGAGTTTGATCCCCAGTACCAATAATAATAATAATTAATAATAATGAGATTCACAGGTGTACTGTGTAAGACGCACTTTGTCGAATTATGAACAAATCTGATTTATAAACATTCTCCCAGAATGAAACTCATTCATAAGTCAGGGATTTACTGTAGCACCACTTTCTTTAAGAGAAAAGAGTTCTCCATTCCATGAAAGAGCACTATATCAAGAGGGAAGGAAAGGGAGGAAGACTAAGAACACCAGCTAGGAGAAAAGACCTAAGCAAAATTATCCCTATTCCAAGTTGTACAGCTTTGGGGAATTTTCTGTTCTAAGGTAGAGCCAGGGTGTGTAAATGAGTCTGTACCATCATTTTAACTTCAATCTGTAGGACTGGGCTCTTGGATTTCATCTGGCCACAGCTACATGATAATAATCTGTGAGGATACAGTTGCTTGAACTCTTAGAGCCCCAACTCCAGAATATTAATGAAACAAACACAAGAAGCACTCTTCTCTTAAATATTACATTCTAAAGAGTTTTATAAAAATAAACTCAGACTTTTTCCTGCTTACTCAATCTAAATGAATTCTCTCTTTCAGAACATTTCCCCATACATATCAAACCTAGAAAACATCAGGCCTATTTCCAGTACCCTGGTAGAGCCCAACCTCATCCCATGACTCTACTGCTCTTGACTCTGACTCTCCGCCTAACTTTACTCCTTGCACAGCTTTTCTGCAGTTAGTTAAAAGCTAGTGCATGATTCAGCTGAGCAAATAAGAAGTTAAAGGTCTTGGATAAAAGATTAGTAAACTAATGCCACTCACTGATTCCCACCCTGCCCATAGGCACATGCCTACCTGGGGCTTGTCGGCCAGAAGGCTGGGATGCACACTTCTGTAACCTTTGGCAGCAAGAGGAGAGGGCTGGGCATTCCCATTGGCATCAGCACCGGAAGAAAGCCTCCACTCATCTAAAAGAATAAAAAACAGAAACAATAACAACAAAAACTAGTAACACATAAGCAACATCCACTGGTTCCCACCTAGTTCAGGGGTCCCTGTTAGAAAGCAGCAATAGTAAGAATGCAAGAGAAACCATACCTGCTGAAGACTTTTCCGCCTCCAGACCTATGTGTAGGGCACAAAGAATGAAAACAAGAAGAAAAGGAAGAAAACAGAAATGGTTACATATGCAGAAATAAGCATGAGCTACAAAGAAGGATGAAAATCCAGTACCCTGTTGTCTGACACAAAGTGCCCTCAGTCACGATGGCCTGATTACCATAGGAACCCACTCTAAACTATGATGTGCTCACAGGCACTGACCTTTGAAAACACAAGGCCCACATTCACAGGAATGAAGAAACAACTGTTCCTTGACATTCTTATTTTACAGACAAAAAGGCAATAGAACTCTCTACTGCCCAGTCCCTACTCACTAACTCTCATTCCCCATTCCCCATGCCTACTGTGGGCTCAGAATGACTGCTCCTTATGAGCAGGCCAGGCTAAATAATGGGCCCTGGAGAGGAAATACCTGGGACCTTTTTCCAGGGTGGTATGCTGTACTAATGGTAGAACATGATTTAAGGCCAAGGATATCTGTTGTGATATGTTGTATTGGGATTGTTTTGATGGTGGGCTGTTTTGTTTTGTTTTTGTCTCTGCCTGCTTACCTTCTTTAAAAAGCCAGTAAATATCTGAAATCTAATCACACTTCCTGAATAATCATTATGCTCCAAGGCACCCTTGTATCCCTTCAGCCTTCCCAGTCATTGCCTATTGTATTTTAGAGTCTCTAACTCTCTCCCAGTTTAACCCACCAGCACCATGAAGCAATAGTGCCTAGTGGTTATGCTCAAGTGGCAAGGCAGCTAGACCTTAATTCAAATCCTGGCTCTACCACCTATGAGCTTTATGATTCTGAGGCTGCAAGCCTCAATTTGCCCATCTTAATAATGGGGAAAATAATATACATGCTTCATTAGTGTTGTGATAAGAATTAAACGACCTAAAGCATGTGAAATGCTTGGCACAGTGCCTGGCAAAACTCATAAATGTTTGCTATTTAACATCATCTTCTGTATTGCCTTTTGTCTCTAGAATGCTGTATCCTCATCTTGCCCAGGGGTCCACAAGCTTTTTCTACAAAGACCCAGATAATAAATATTTCAGTTCCTGTGGTCCACATGATCTCAGTCACAACATGAGATTGAGCATCGCAAATCTGAAAATGCATGATACTCCAAAATCTGAAACGTTTTGAGCACCAATATTATGGCATAAGTAAAAAATTCCACATCTAACCTTATGTGATAGGTTCTGGTCAAAAAGCAAGTGTATTGAAAATACTGTATAAAATTTCCCTAACAGTTGGGGTTGTGATTCAGTGACAGAGAACTTGCCTAGCATATATGATGCCCTGAATCCAATACCCGTCACCACATAGATAAAGCAAACAAACTACTGGAATAAATAATGATGAAATAATATCTCTATTAAAAAATACCTTCCTATATGAATATAAGGTATATATTAATTAATTTCACATTTATACTTAAGGTTATTTTCTTACCATATCTCATTATGTATAAGCAAATATTTCAAATCTGAAAAAAATACCTGAAATCACAAATATTTCTGGTCTCAAGTACTTTTTTTTTTCTCATTGAGTTTACTGGAACTTTTTAGGTATACAGTACAGTTATATTCATCATTGGGATCTTGTACCTTTACAAGACAGGTCTTAGTTCTCATTTTTTCCCCATACCCTTCCACTCCCTTCACCCCTTCCTCCCTTTCCTATTTACAAAAACTTTTATTTCCATTTTTTCATTTTCTCAGATTATTTTTCTTTTCCCTTATTTCCTTTCCCCTACCCTCCCCATTTTCCCTACACCTTTAGACCTTTTCCTCCTACTTCACATTGTCAATTATACTATTAGGATCTTATTTACAGTTATACTTTTTCACACCAGAGAAACTACTAGGTATTTACACATGTGTGACTTGTTTATTTCCCTTAAGAGTATAACCTCAATATGTATCCATTTCCCTATGAATGACTCTTTGAATAAGGGACGCTCAACCCATATCTGACTTGGCCATCACATAACAAGAGTGGCTCCAGACAGTGCATGAATGAGTGTGCATGTCTATGTTCCTATATCCTTTTATTTATGGACATTAACATATGAATTTCATATAATTTTTATGTAATATACAATGCCATTCTTATTCTGAATTTTCTTTCTGCCATTTAAAAACATTAAAAAAAATTCTTATTTTACAAGCTGTAACAAATGCATACATGGGCTAGATTTTATTCATGGCCATAGTTGCCAATGCCTACTGTAGTCCACCCTTTTCTTCCTCCCTCTCCCATCTGCATCTTCTTGTCTCACCCTATGTAATACAAAGGGGACTAATACTACAGCTCTCAAAGCCCAAGCCTCCACTGCAAAGAAGGTCCCTCAGGGACTAAAGATGGACTTTCCAAACTGCAAGTTGATGTGTGCATTTATTGAATGCCTTCCACTGCTACACTTTTATGTCTATTTAGCACTTACTTTAATGTGCATGCCAACTCTGTGATGTAAGTAATCATCCTACTTCATGGATAGAAAAGAAGGAAGCCAAATGACCTGCCCAAAGTCACACAGCCTCACACATGAGGGTACCAAGTAGTCAGCCCAGTTCTCTAGAATCCAAGTACAATGTCCCGCCCACCACCAATAGCTGACAACCATACCACTAGCCACCAAGCAGAAATTACATCCCAGGGAGGTGGTAGGATCAAACAAGTGTCAAAGCAAAATGCAAAGCAGAAGTAAAGGTTTTGACTGATTCACATCCATGTACAGCAGCCATCTATCTGCAACAGAATCACAGAGAATACTTGATTGAATACAGGTCAATCGAACCCACTCCCAGCATTTCTGATGCAGAAGGTGAGTGGTAAGGCTCAAGAATTTTTATTTCTAAAAAGTTCTCACATGGTCCACAGTATGCAGGTGGTCCACAGTATGCTCTTTGAAAACCACTGAAATAAGGCACACTAAAAAAAAAAAATCCTTATTCTAGAAAACTAATTGTATGTACACCTGCTTCTAAAACACAATTTTTATAAGATAACTCAGTTATATACTTTTAGTGACCTGTCCATTAATATTTCTCCTACTTCCTTTAGACAATTCTTACTTTACAGTAGACCCTAGAGTTACAACCAATTTGACATACAATTAACTTACGACCAAAGTCTTGAATTACAATCTGAATGCTAGCCATTTGTGCTTCCAGAGGATCGCAGATACAGATTTAACCCTTAAAGAGTTCTGGAAGGAACATTACAACATCCTTTCCTGTGTGGAGTTAATTGAGAAATCCTGGGCCAATGTCTCTCTAAGGACACTGAGATCTGACTATGTACCAGAGAGAGACTCTGAAGGATGTGTAAAGAAGCCTGAGTCTTCAATTGATCAACCTGAGTTACAACTAATCCTCACAAATGAATTGAGTTCCAAAGGGCCACTGTATCTTCTCCCACCACCAACCACAAATTTGGAGAATGAAAAGATCTTGTGTTTTGCTCACATTATTGCAATATGCTGGCTTGTGTGACCAGAAGCAAGTTTGTTAACCATAAAAAAATTTCTTTTCTCACCTGTAAAACATAATCTTTGGTCCAAATAATCCTCACAGGACTGCTGAACAATCAGAAAACAGGTAACTATATTTAACATTCATTAGTGCTTCCTTGAAGATGCCTGGCTCAGAAAAATTCTCCCATCTGACAGACCCTCTAACATAGGCTGTGAGCATGGTTCTCTGCTCTCCCATCTCTTTCACTCTCCTGTCTTTTTTCCCAAGTTGCAATTTCTGGTCCCACTTTTTCGAATCATTCTTCAAATGTATTAAGTTTACGTAGACACTAAATATCAACAGGCTCTGAGTGATGGGCTATTCCATGAAAATTGTAAATTCTTATACTAATTTGGGGACACATTATTTTGCCCATTTGTGGTTCCCAATCGGGTTGGTTCTATTCAAATGATACTGTCAAATAAATGTGTCATGGAAAGTTGAGGTGTGACTATCCTTCCAAACCTCTAGGTATTCTAAAGGGATGATCATTCTGGCATCTGATTACCTTGTATGTCTTCATCCTCTGTCTTATTAACTACAAATTCCCATCAAATGAGCCAGTTCATCTATGAAGTGGACACGGATCTCTTCTTTGAGTCACGAGGAATAAATTAAAATACATGAAATAATGTGTGTATTATAAAATTGGAGTCTGAAGCACAACGGAAGAAAAGCCCCATAGACATGAACTACAATCACTGATCTCCACTGGAATAGCTCAAGAGCATATCTTTGGGAATTGATCCATTTTTTGCTTCACATTCCAAATCTTTAAAATTATTCCCCTGACCTAGCCCAACAAGGCAGTTCCTAGGAACTCTTTCAGCGGTTTTCTCTTCTGTGTTGAAGGAGAGCTGCACTTCTGATTCTCATCACCTTTTGCCTGGAAAGCTGATAGCAGCCCAAGTGTGTGGGATGAAATCTTACATATATAATCATTAATTATTAAGTCCTCCTGATTGAAGAGACTGTCAAAATACTTCTTATAATAAATGTTACCTTAAAGCTCCTGAGGTGGGAGAGAAGGGAGGCCTTGGAAAGTTAGCTTCTAGATAGATTATTTTGCATTAAATTTAAATTATTTTGCCTTGTCTTTTCTTCCATTTTCTCTTTATTTAAAATCTTTTCTGGGCTGTGGCTATAAGCCTCCTGCTATTTTTCTTTTATCCAGTTGGTCAAAATTTTCTGTGCTACTTCATTTTGGCTTGTTCTAATGTTTTCGTTTGTTTCTGATGATCAGTCAGTCTTGGGATCTTAAGATAATTTTCACTGAGTCAGTCTTGATGTGTTCTAGAAGTATACTCAAGAAGCAGATGACAGGTGTTAAAATTAGGTGAGTGTTCTGAATCCTATTTGGGTTTACATTTTACTTTAACTGTGTATTAGAAAATTTAAATTTACCCAAAAAAGGTGTCTGGCCTTTGCCCTCTCCTTTTGGGAAATAATCACTAAATCCTTGGAATGACATCTAATAGGAATGTCTTTGTTTATCTGAGAGCTTTGAGTCACACTAATAGTGTGATTTGGGATGTGGGCTTTGAGGAAACAGGAGCTCTGCCTCCTACTGGAGTCTAAGATGGGCAGTGGGGTATGTCTATGTACTGGAGACAGAGTAAAAACGCATCACAAAAATAGAGGTAAACCTCCTGATTGGTAATACCACAAACATACTTTGAGACATTTGAACAGACTGGGAAATAATGTGTCCTGACTTCATGTAAGGAGGACAATGGGTAGCTCTAGTAACTCCTCAGACTCCACACTCTGCATTTTTTCTCTTGGATGATTTTAATCTCTATCTTTTCCCTATAACAAACTGTAGCTATTAGTACAACAGCTTTCACTGAACCTGAAAGTGGTTTTCAGAATTCCCAGAATTTGCACTTGTCAGAGGTGAGGGTGCCCCCTTGTGGGTACTTCTCTCTCTCCCTCTCTCTCTCTCTCTCTCTCTCTCTCTCTTATAATGTCTTTTCTACTGCTAATGTGGAAAGCAAATATGATAGTCAAACCATAAGAAATGGGTTGATCGTAGGCCCAAGAATTTTTATCCTTAAAGATAACTTTGCAGTGAAGAATAAGAAGCAAAGACTGGGGCCAACTGGCACAGAATTAACAAAATGCAAAGGCTAACTAACCTAGACCCTGGCATTTAAGTCAAAACACAGGAGAGGATTCATGAAACCACAAGGTCTTCAAGCTATACCGCACTGAAACTTGGTACTGTACCCACAACAACTCAGGTTTCTTTTCCCCTTGAGTAGAGGATGCTGGTGACCTTGCTCTGAACCAACACAGCCAACACCCGGATGTGGCAAGGTGAACGGGAAACAAGTACAAGGTAATGAGGCTTCACCCAGCAGCAAGGAGTCAGTACTAAGATTACTGCCATTCCTTTCAGATGGTTATGATCCAAAAATGAGGGTCCACAGAGTTCAGAATACTGGACAGGAAGCCATGGTCATGGACCTGGGACCCAGTTGTCACGTGAAAGCAGGAGTCTGGGATGTGAGTTTAAACTTGGCATCTCCTAGGATTCCACCTTTCACTCTACTTCAGGGGACAATTCCATACTCCTAAAATTCACTTACGCAGATAGCTCCCAAATCTATACCTTGGACTCCAATTTTCCAAAGGCTAATTAGAAGATTTCTCCTAGAAGCCCTTCCCTTGCCAAGACACTCAATATGCCTAAAAATGGAATTCAAATTCCTTTCAACCCTCTTCACAAATTCCCCATCTTAACAAATGCCACAATTATCCTCCTAGAAAACCATGGAAGATACTTCTGGTTAACAGAGTCTCGTCTCTCATTGAGCCCTGTCATTTCATTTGATTCCACCCAAATTGCCCAAATGTACAATCTAGAATTTATTCCCAATAAATGGGATTCTGTTTGTGTCAGGTTAATTTCCACACTTCCAAAGGTCAAGGAGCATTTTGTAACATTTAGAAAGACTTCAAAAGCATCTTGCCTAAGTCCCTCATACCTTATTGGGCTTCAGAGTCACTGTGACTTATAGCCAGAAAGCAGGGTAGGGAACTACAAGCCCCTGGCTGACTCTTCTGTTGCAACAAACTGCCTTTTTCCCTCACCTTAGTTCCCAGAATTACTCTTTTTCCTCCTTTCTCTCTATTTCTCATCACAATTCCCAGTGGCCTGCTTAGCTCCTGGCCCACAGGTTATGTTGAATGAATACAAGTTCATTTAGATTAATCTCAACTTACCAGAGGAAAATAATTTACTATAAGGTGCACACCCTGATAGCTAAACCCTCAATTCTTCTACATATTTTAAAACACTTTGAGGGCCGGGGATTTAGCTCAGTGGTTCTGCCACCTTCCTTGCAAGCACAAGGGCCCAAGTTCGATCCCTGCTACCAAATAAATAAATAAATAAATAAACAAACAATTTGGTAAAGATTTGGTGAAAGGTTTTAACTAAATCTCTTTTCACCAAAATTAGGATAAAAGAAAAATTTATTAGAAAAAAATAAAATCCAAAATTCGTTAGTAGAAATGTGTAAGACACAGAACTTATCCTTGGACAAGAGAGTGCTTTCTAGACTGCATCAAATCTACCTGTGGTTGTAGCACAAGGTGAGAGTACTATTTAATCTACATTAGTGTACACTGTAACACTAGAGGGAGCCCCAGGCCCCACTCCTTGGCCATGTCTATTCTCAGCCCGAGAATGGGCTTGTTAAGGTCACCCTACTGGGACACAGGGATTCTCTAGTCCTCCCATAACTTCCAGCTCGGGAACTGCCTCTTTCTAGTTAGACCGAGAGATGCTGGTTTAGGAGGGCCTTGAAAAAAAAAAATCATTTAGCCTTCTCTCCTCAACCCCACCTTCCCAGAAAAGAGAGAACTGCAACAGTTCAGGAATCAGCTGTGGGTTCAGGGACAAAAGAAAAAGAAGCTATTCGGTCCATTTTTAATGCCGGAAGCTGCTCAGGCCTTCCCTGGGTCTACAAAGAAGCCCTCCATAGGTACCAACACTAACAGGAAGGTAACACTAACCTGATCTTTTCCTGGGGCACCTGCCTCAGTACCTGCTCTGGGTACCTGAGACAAAAAGAAAGTCAGTCTCAGGGTGCTGGGCCCTGACCATCTCCATCATACACGATTCTACTTTACTACCCACACACGCCTCCTACTGCACCAGAAGGGTCTGTGTGCCCAACTTTCTTTCCTCTCTGATTCCAATGGATCAGTCAGCCTTTCACTTCATTTTCTCTCTTCATTTTCTTCAAAAGAAAAAAAAAAAAGACCTCATCTCCCTTAGAGTCCTCAAATATGGTCTTTGGGCCAGCAGCATCCTCATGATCTAAGGACTTGTCGAGAAGGCAAAACCGGGCTGTGGATTTAGCTCAGTGGTGTCGCTGCCTGCCTCGCAAGCACAAGGACCCAAGTTCAATCCCTGGTACCAAAAAAAATAAAATAAAATAAAATGCAAAACCTCAGATCCCACTTCAGACCTGCAAGCAGGAATCACAAAGTCTAAAACTCTGGGCTGGGGCCAAGAAACTTTCCTTTCCCCTACTGGGGGTTTTGATGCTGACAGCATGAAATCCATGGTACTGTAGAGAGAGTGGGCTTCCTGTCCCTCAACTAATTGCACCAGTGGAACCACAGAGTCAGCATTGCCGGATGCTAGAATGAGCTTTGTAAAGCCCTCTCTAGAAAGGCCAAAATAACCCGAATCCTCATCTAATAATAGCACCTAACACCTTAACAGTTTACTCAAGCCCTATTGTAAAACATTTCACAACCATCTTCCTCACAATAATCCTGTGTGGCAGGTACAATGATCAACCCCATTCCACAGATGACATCTTTGATGTGGAGAGAGAGAGTACAATACATTGTCTGAGGTTACACAGCCACCAGGTGGTAGTGGCAGGATGTGAACACAGATCTACCACATTCCAAATGCCCAGGTCTAACGCCCAACACCATGTAATAGACACTCGGGTTTCTCACGTTACGGATCAGGGTGGGCAGGGGGATGTCACACGGACTCCTTCCATCTCTCTCAGGTCTTAGGCTGCACTAACTTACGACTGCTCTCCTAATCCCACTCCTTCCACTGTCTTCCATCACAGGTCTGATCCCTGCTACTTTTGCTTTCTAGGTCGTTCAGCCTCCCCTGGCTTTTTCTACAGTCAACCCTGCCCACTTAGCTCAAAAGAAAGATGAGCTCAGAGAAGTTCAATATCCAGGGCTTCTCACCATATGCTCCCTAGGCCCAAAACCTCATCTGTCCACTTGAATTCAGTCTTCAGAGCACAAGTTGGTGTAAAGTCAAAGCTCAGATAAAACTGGGGTCATTGCTATGTCTTTACCAAAAACATGTGACTACCTGTCAGTCCAAGGGTCAGATACTACTCATCATAGAAGAGACAAGAAGCCAGCTTTCCCAGGGGCCCCCAAGAGCATCAGGTGACAGAAGAATTCAAACCCACATAAGCAAAAGCACGATGATCTTCCCATATGGTTTTGGACATCCCCAGACCCCTTCCCTCAGTCTCAGGGTTAGCACACCTGGCTTGCTTTCATGTTCCAGGGTTTCCTGAGGGCTCACAGGGCTACTGGCTGGGGATTCCCCATAGGAGGACGAGGCCCGGAGAGTCACTGCTCCTTTTCCAGTGCAGATTTTTGTAGGATCCATATCTGAAAACAAATTACACAAGACAAAACATTGCATCCAAGACTCTAGAAAGATTAAAACAATAGTCAGCAAATTTTTGCAGCACAGGAAATGAGATGAATTTGACTACACTACTCAAAGTCTTCGAGCAATCATGGCCAATGGAAATATGTGGGTGGTGGAGAGGAACAAGTCAAACCATTTCCAGAGGTTTGTCACGCATCATGAGATTAGTGGAAAATGGAGGCAACGGTGAGTTCTGAGTAAATGTAGGAGTTACTATATCAGCTGAAAATGACTGAAAATGAAAGCAGGTTATTTATTTTATCGAATGAGGTTTAGGTTGATAAGCATACTTCTGGTCAATTAGTAAGTCATGTTTCAAGAAAGAGTTCAAGAAAAATCTTTCAAGCTTCATATTAAAGAGCAAATTGGCAACACAGGGAGTTAAGGAGATGTTCTGAGAAGGATCACTGTTCTGTAGTTCTCTAGAGGGAAAAAGAGAAAGCAAACCTCCTGGTATCTCCAAGTCAAGAACCCTAACGAGATGAGACAGAAGGATATGTAGCCTCACATTCCAAATGCAATGAAGAGAACTCAACAAGCAAGATGACTAAAAAGGCTCATCCCCCAAAAGCACCATTCAGTGGTATTCCCTAGACACTTCATGGGGCCTTGGCCTCTTTACCAGGGCCTAATACAGACCCAAGACATCTCTGAGTTCCCTTGAGAAGGGTGTAAAAGTACAGTGTTCACCTTAGCCAAGGGAGACACATTTCAAGGCCACACAGTACTGACCCTGACACATGCTTTGTTCTTCCCTGAACATGTGTGCCTCTGATAGTTTAACTTATAAATTAGTCATAGCAAGAGATTAACAACTATAATAATAAAATAAAATAATAATATGCTATAATAAAAGCTATTTAAAATTTAAGAATCGTTTATTTCTGCAATTTTTCATTTAATATAGGCACAGCTCTCCATGGGTCACTGAAACCACAGAAAGTGAAACCACAGTTAAGGAGGCTATTGCAATCTTCAACAGATCTGGATGCCCATCCTCCACGAAAATCACTAATGAGGATGCAGGAAACCAGTCCTGACCACACAATTCTAGAAAGCACATGTGCCAAGTGTTTCTTTACGTGCAGATGAGCTGAGCTGAACTTCACACTTATTTGGGGTCTTTTCTTTTCCAAATTATTCATAGCCTGGATCCTTGACCTAAAATTGCCACAATTAGGATTATGGGTAAATAGGATTATTAGGAATGCTCAGGGGCTTGCATTCAGGCAGGATGTGGTTCTGTGTCCATTTCATTTCCATTCCTATTTGAGGTCAGAGAGAAGCAAAGCTTCTTTTCTCCTTGCTTTCTATTCAAGCCGCCATCTCCCAACAACTCGGAACACTCACTAGTGTTGCAGAGGAGGATAAATCTGCCTATCAGCCTTTTCCTGGCAACTTGCAGCTGCCACTAAGACATCTGACTTGCCCAACCTATGGAAGGGCAATTGATGTCACAAAACTATTTGGAAAACTGCTTCGTGCTCATTTCTAACAGATAATGGGCAAAGCAGCAAATCCGCAGTCCATCCTTAGATTCCTGAACAACCAGATTTACCTACTTTCTCTAAGTGCCATGGGAGAAAGGGCAGCCCAAGCTTTGTTTGTACCACTTAGGACAGCAAATGGTCTGAGCCAGAGCTGACATCTGAATTGTATTCCTGCACCTGCCAGGAGTGTCAGGAAGTGACTATGAAATAGGGTTGCAATGGTGATGCTCTGGGAACTGACAATTCAGGGTTTCTGCTAAAGCAGCTACTTCGAAGTCTACCCAATTCAGAGGTTCCCTGTAAGGTAAGGTGTTTTCTTGGGAAAACTGGAGTTTTCATGAAAGTATTGGTAGTTGCAAACTTCTAGGCAGAGCCTGTAAAGTCTACACAGACCCACCCCAGAATGAACGTTCAGCCTCTGGACAGACCCTTCACCTCAAGAAAGAAGGACAAGGCCTCTGCCTGCTCACTGGCTCCCAGAAACACACACTCAGTAACATATACACACAGAGGAAGAAAGGAAATAAGCTGAGGAAGAGAGAGAAAAACTCCCAATCATACAAGGATTAAGCCTCACAGTATATGTTAGAAGGAAAGAAAAAAAGAAACCATGCATGATCTAACAATTAAAAAGAAAGAAATCAACCCAAGGCAAGATACCTGGAGGGAGGGCCAGGCCTGAAGCATTTTTCACTGTCTTCACAGGAATTATTTTAACAGCAGAAACAGAGCGTGCACGTAAAGGGTCGGCAGTTGCTGAAAACACAAAAGGGTAAATGGTGCATCCAGAAGGAACATTTGGGAAACATTCACGCCATTGAGGAACCAAGCAGGGACAATAGGAGGAAGCCGCCTACTCAAACAGAACCATACAAAGAGCAGGAGATGTAGAAATTAAAATAAGCTGCTTTCTCTCTTTAGAGTGCTGGGCCAAGACAGCAGAAATCTTCTTCAAACCATCACCCAAATACAGTTGGTCAGTGTTTATCTGTGCCTCCTGCCACACGACGAGCTTGCCAGTGCTTTGAACAAAGAGATGTAGAGACACAGATGGTCTGGCAGATAGAGGAAGGGGAGTGTAATCAGGGGCCCCTTGGGAGAATGCTGGATCATTTGCTCTGCAGTAAGGGCTCTGAGGAGAGGGCTATGGCCCAAAGGCCCCAGATGAATGGAAGAAGGAAAGGAACAAGTTCATGAGTTTCCTGGTCCCTACAGCCATTACAGCTGCACCCCCAAAATCATAACTTCTGGGGTCCCAAGGCCCATTCTGATAATCATAGTGTTCAGGCTCCAAGTAAATCAAACCCCATCTGTTAGGAAACAGATGGTCTTACTTAAACCCATCCTTTCCAGGGAAAGAGGTGCCAAGTGTCCAAGCGCATACATAAGACTCCGTGCAGTATCCTGGTCTGGATGTTGACATCCAGCTGAGCTAAAGCAAAGAAGAATCACTGCCTGGGATGCAAGGAAGGCTGTTCTCCTCAAGTCCAAGGTATTTGTGCTTATTTACTGTAGGACCCCTGAAATCCCTGCCTGCCCAGTCTCTAATCTCAATGGTGAGCACATCCCCAAGCTTTCTTGTGAAGTCTCTCTTGTCTCTCTCTTTAAAGGCAGCAAATAAAGATGGCAGCTCTTATCCAATTGTGCCAAAGTCCCTCCTGAGTGCTGCCCGTAGTTCTCAACACCTCAAAGCCACAGCATAACAAGGGGATAAGACCATTTGGAAAAAATAATATCACTGCTAAATCAACAACACACTGGTGAGATTGTGAAGGGGATATGATGGAGGTGGGAGGCTTCTCAGTAGTAGACAGTGTATCTCCCAGCCTGCCACAATGATGCGTCACAAGTCATATGCCAGTTATGCTGTATATGGTTGTCAATAATTAATAATGATTATTCTGTACATATTAATATATAAACATCTATAGCAATCATAAGGACTGCACCTTGTAATCACCAGAGCAACTGGCTACTGTTTTCTGTTCAATAGCAATTGGCTATTGTTTACTGTTTTCGCTGGTAGAAGGGGCTTGGCCAACTGCTCAAGATCATTCAGTTTTTAAGTTCAGAAGCTGAGGCAATTTCAGCTACCTTGGCTCCTGGCTCAGTGACCTCCTTACACCTGCCTCCTAATTTCCGGTCAAAAATCTAATGAAGGAGGGAGCAGACTCCACCTCTACCTACTACCCTCCTCCCACTTCCTTAAGCCTCTGGTATATAAGAATTCACATGGACAGAGTTGATCACTCCATATGTTTTTTTAAGTAAATGGATCCCATCCTTCTTCATGCTCTTCAGTGGATGCTTACACACTCCTCCGTAGCTACTGCATAGGTATTGGCCCGTGATACTCCCTAAGTGGAATTCAGAACAAGATTGTCCAAGACACCAACAAAGCAGACATGTTTCTCACTATGAGAGAAGAAGGGCAGCTAAGCAGAAAGGCGGGGGAATGGGACAGCAGCAGAATACCTCCTGCCTCCAAGTCACCTGGGCCCCATACCCCCATCTTTTCGGCTCTGTACTTTCTCTCAACTGATTCCTTCTGAATTCACACTTTCCTTGTCTCAAAAGGAATACTTGGCTATATCAAAGGGAATTACAAAGACCAGACACATCAAACTTTCTGAAACTATTCTTTAAGAGATGATACATTTTGATTTAAATGCCCCACACCAGGATTTCTACCCTTCTTCTTTGATACCATAAGGTGCAGCTGGGTCAGCATTCATAGAATCACTGGTGCCCAGGATGGAAAGCAGGAATACACATTGCAGAACATTAAATTATACTGTAGGTAAGAACTTACACCCTCTAAAATAAAAGGCTTCCCAAAATATCTCTGTTTGTGAGAGGCAGAACCAGGACCAGAGCCGTATCTCATTACTCCAACTCAGGTGACTGGTCATCCCATACTGCGAAAGTGGTGCTGGGAACTCTACTGCCAGCCTATGTGGGCAGCCCTAGGATTGATCCCCAGGACAGCAAAACAATGAACTTTGAAAATATGAGAGAATGCACATGGAACTAATGTCTTGGAAATAATTTCTTTTAATGATTTAGGCTGTTGCTTCAGAGGGTTGTGAATGTGTCTCTATTTATTATAAGTGCCAGGTGAAATGGCAGATAAAAAGGGTTTCAGGCTAATGAATGCCACTTGTGAATGATGGATGCCTCAGACTGGTAGTTGCTTCATTATTCATAGCAACCTTGTGAGCTAGGAATAGCTTTTCAGTACATCAATTCTCAGTGGGGAAAAAGCAGCCTCACATCTATGAGAAGCAGAAACATGTCCCTGGTCTCAGAAAGTCAGAGTCAGGACCAGGTCTCCAGTTTGTGTGGGCTGATTGGGTAAATGATGCTTTCCCTGGGCAAGTAGGTCAGCCCCAGCCCAACATACTCTGCACCTTCTGGAAATACTTTTTAGTACCAAGCCAGGATTCTCTTAAAGAGCCTTACCTTTGTCTTGCTCGTTGCTGCCAGGTGTCAAGCCATTCAGAACAGCTCGAGAAGTCCCAGCATCACATTCTGAAAGAACAAAGAGAATGAATGAGCCTTGCTACCACACTGCCCAATGGCCACTGAGTGCTGTGAGGCAGGAGGTTCTGGAAACATCGTCAACAAAGGGATCCTGCCCTACAGTCCCTGGAGTGGCTCCATCCACCACCATCACCACCCCATACACACACAAATCCCATTGGCTTTGCCAGGGCTACAAGGACCCCCTCAGGTATCACAAAAGAGTTCTGAGAACACTATACAAAAGTTATTTGGGAATGGGAAGTGTTTGTGGGTGATAAAGATTTTCTTGCTTCATTGCCCTTCTGTCACTTAAACAAAAAAAACTTCCTAACTTCTTCATAATGACATCTCCTGCCTGCCCACTCAAAGGCCAGCTCAGGCACACCCTTTTGCATCCAGAGTCGAGCAAGTAAGACCTGCATCTCAACAAATGATTACATTTAAATTAACAATTGCTATTCTTGATCATTAAAAGCAAACCAACTCACCCACAAGGCCCAAGGGCCACTACAAGGGGACAGAGCTTGAGCAACTCTCTCTGGAGTCAAGACTCTGACTCTTGAGACCTTTCCAGCTGCATTTCCGCCTTTTCTAAGTGTGTCAGAGTTTCAGGCCTTAGGCCAGGAATGCCCATTCCCCTTTTCTAAGCCTGGAGAAATCTTATACATCCTGTGGCTCACCTTAAAGTTCATTTCCTTTGTATCAGTTGAGAATTCTCTGAGTTTTGCTCAGGTGCAGACAACACTGAGGCCCAATCTACCCCGAAATAAATGGCAGAAGGCCAAGGAAATCAGGCAGGCAGGCAGACCCTGTCACCCTGGGACACATGGCCATTATGCCTGGAGGGACCCACAACTGCAAAGAGCCAACCACCTACATGATAACCATAACAACTAAATTTTAAACGTCTGAGGATCTAGGTTCAGCATTCATTCTATAGTTAGCATCTCATTTTACCTGGACAGAGAAGTTAGAAACTACTGTTCTAGAGAAAAGAAAACTAAGGCTCAGAAATGAGGGCAGGCCTAACCCAAATCACTACCCTGGGATGTGCACTGCCACAGATCACTGCTTACCTTCTTCTCCACAATTGGCATAAACATATTGGCTTCCTGGTTTGTTCTATGTTCTATTTCTCTAGATGCTGGGCCTGAAGCCTAGTTCCAAACCCCAGAAGCACATCAGGCTGAGACCAAGCCACCCTACTGAAGCTCTTCACAATAAGCCTTCTAAAGGCTGAATGCCCGACATGAACCACACAGACGGGCCAGCTGGCTGCTGCCTGTGCCACTCCTGAGCAGGGCTTCTACCCCACTCCACCCAGTCCCTGGCTGTGGCCCATTCGTTACATTCACCCGCAGAAGAAGGCTCATTCTCCTGGATGTCGAGGCTTACCTGAGCCCTCATATCTGGGACAGGTGAAAGGACAGTGTGAGCGAGAAGGCTAGAAAGCTAAGAAGAAACCGAAGTTCCACTGCTCCACCATTTGTTCTTTATCCCTTCCTCGGGTCCCCTTGATCACATCATTTTGACCCTGTTCACTCTGTCTTGGGCATCCCTGAGTTCTATGTCCAGCTCAGGTCCATGTTCTTCCTTTACCTTTTTGTCATTTTATCATAACAACCAAATTGAAGGAAATTTTGAAAAAGTGTTTTAAAATCAACAAACCTAATTCTGCAAATGTAAGCTTCTGCCACAGTACGTCAGTGCTCAGCAGCCTGTGTCCACCTCCGTCCTATCACACACAAGCTGGGTGAACCTGGACAGAATGAGTTGCCTCAGCTATGTGTTGAAGGTAGTAAAGCACACCCTCCTTTGGGGATTTCCAGGACAATGAAACAAGATCATGGAAGTAAAGCATTTCCCTCAGTGACTGGCAACCCAGGCAAAAACTAAAAGTAAAAGTGATAAATTATTTCCATGCTGCAATTTCCATACATGATGGTACAAGCAATTGTTTTCCATGTAGTTCCTGCCTTCCCAATGATCTTTTTTTTTTTTTTTTTTTTTTTTTT